GTTTTTGGCTGACCCCAACGTCGAAACTGACCCCGTCTGGAAACCGACGATTTTCGTATGCTACTGGACGTCGACCGATCGACCGAATGGTTCGGTTGGTCAGTTTGTCGGTTTAACCGACAACCCCTCTTTTTTTCCCAATGGCTGGTGACAGCGTTAGAGGAGGGGGTGCCAGCGTGCGTTAGATTTTGGAATGAGGGGGTGGAATGACATGACCGTATGGCGAGAGGGAGGGGGCACCGACGAYCGATGAGAGAGAGCGAACAGAGGGAGAGGGAGAGTCGGAGAGGGGGGCGGCACAATGAGGGAGAGTGAGAGTAGGGGGCGGGAGGGAAATTGAGAGGCTGAGAGTAGAGAGAGATTCGTGAAGAGTGAGGGAGTAACCCTAAATCCTGAATTTGTTTTCTAATTTTTTACAACTACAAAATAAAAAATATTAAAAAGAAAATTAAGTAACAATACTCGGTCGGTCGGTATCACTTGGTTTAAGGCCACCGACCGACCAACTCGTCGGTTCTGAAATTTTCAGAACCGACGCTGAACCGACTGGCAATAAAACCGACTGATTGACCACTTTTTGATCTGTTTTGGTCGGTCGGCTCGGTTTTTCGAGTTCACATGTCCACCCCTAATATAAAGAAAGGATCATATATTATATCATAAATTTTAAACGATGACATTAATTAAGGGCAATACTGAAATATAAAAATTAAAATTAAAGTTGGAAGTTTAAAGGGGTAAAAAACAGATATTTATGAAATATTATTGCTACATTTAACTTATGAGAAAAAATCTCATTTTAGAAATCATATTCCACAGATAACTTAGTTTTCAAATTTTTAGCGATTCTCATATTTTAAATTTTCATTAATTTCAAGATTGTCCTCCATTATTATTGTTCAATTTGATAAAAAAAATTATTTAAATGATTAAATTTGATTTTTATCACTTTTCCCATATTTGGATTTCAAGTTCTTCTCTCTCGAAATCCTAAAAAATCTCATATTTTTCTCATATCATAATTAATACCAAATCTAATCAAAATTAAAAGATTCCTCTCTCACCAAATTTGTTTTTTTTCCGATTTTTTTTTCACATTTTTTTTAAACATATACTCATCTAAATGGTTATATAATATATTCTTTTTATTATTATATAGTATTATGTCCTATAATATATTCGAAATACCATTATATAATATATTTTTATCCCATTATTTTTAGTATGATAAACATATACTACTTGGTTATATAATATATAGCTTTTAGTGGTATATACTCAAATATTTAGGCTATGTAATATATGACTTTTGGTGGTATATACTTAAATATTATATTATATAATATATACATTGAAATATTATGCTATATATCTAAAATCTAATCAACTCTCTCATACCATTTTAGGTTTTCAAATTAGAGATTTTAGGGATTTGGAGATTTCAAAACAAAAATTAGGAAACCACCCAAATTCTAAATTTATTACATATTTGATTTTATTTTTTATCCTTATTTAACATATATATTAGAAAGAACTTATGAGTAATTTTTTTTAATGGATTCCATCTATAATCGGTCAATATTTAGATAATAATGTAAATTGTTAAAAAGTCAAGTTCAGCGTGTAATTTGAATACTAAAATGAACTAGATGTGTACTAATCCGTTAACTTATTTAAGATTAGGGATTAGTACATTAATAGGCTATTTAGAGACTATATTTACATAAAAAGATTTAATATATAAAATTTACACTTTTGTCATGAAACAACCTTATTTAAAATGGTATCCATCACCCAAATTACTAGTATATCATTTTGTATCTACACCTCAATATTAATTAATTTTTAAAATCTAAAATTGGTTAGTTGAGAGGTTACAATTTAAGTCCCTTAAATTTTGCCTAATAAAAAAATAYCAAATCTCCAAAATACTAACCAAATCCTCAAAATCCTCCATTACTGAAAAAAATGTGAAAACCTCCTTCCTCCGACTTTTCTATTCCTTTATCGTTTCGTTTCTGTCCATTCCTTCGTCCCCGACCGCTGTCTACGTTCCTTCTTCTTCGGCCGCCGTCTCCGTTCTTCTTTATCGTCGAAGCAGTCCGTCAACTATTATTCTTCCTCTGTCGTTCGATTTCCGTCCGCTACTTCGTCTCCGGCCGACGTCTGCGTTCCTTCGTCTCAGTTTATCTCGACCATTGTCTAGTCGCCGACCAGAAGGTTTGTTTTGTCTCACCATATAAATTTCGATATATTTTTCATTCCAATATATCCTCCTACTTTTCGATTTCAGATTTGAACAATGTTGAAAACCATGGTTTTTTTTTTGTACTATTAAACCTCTTCGAAACCCCTTCCATACCCATATATCTTCAATTGTTGTTTTTGTACTGTTATGATTTCAGTGCTGTAAAATTTAGGTGTGGACTATTGTATATATGGGGATATATCTTATAGTGAGTTTGATTCCTTATACTGAGTCGAGTTGGGTATATTGGATAAAATATAGAACTAGTTAGAATCATTTAGTTGTAAGTATTAACTAGTTTGAATTAAATTATTAACTAAACGAGAGAGTTGTAAGTAATTTGAAGATAATTGTAAGATATCCAAGTTGATATGGATTTAGATTATATCCGGAGATATTTTATAACTCAAAAAGCTCAGTTGAATATATTTTATAATGTTTGAGTAGTTGTGAGAACTCTTGTATATACTCAATGAGTGTATCCGAATGGTGGTGGCTTCCGACAACCAGTGGGAAATTAGAGAGACGAATTGAGTATTTTTGTAATTAATAATATTGGTAAATCACGGGAATAAATATTTTTGAAGGAGTGAATTAAGTAGGGGTGAAAGAATCCGAACTGAACCGCAAGATCGAATCGAACCGATATGGATCGGTTCGGTTCGATTCGGTTATGACACAGAAATTCATTCGGGTCGGTTAAAACCGAAACCGAAACCCTAATAATTTACTTTTAAGTTTGTGCGCCGCTTCCTCCCTTTTCTCCTTTTATGCTCTCTCTCCCCCCTTTGCTCGCTCCCTCTACTCTCTCTCTCTCTTCTTCTTCTCCCTCCGCTCTCTCTATAGATATGATGGCATTGTGGTGGCGAAACAAAATCACGATGACGATGATGGAACAAATCTACGGCGGTGCGCGACAATCCCAAAACCCTCTTCAACAATGGCGGTAGAGATACCACAAACCCACGCGGCACAGCGCGTAACGACCCAGAAATGCATGGCGGCAACTCCACCTCTCTCTAGTTTCTCTCAACAAATCCACGGCAACCCGTTGAGAAGGGATTTTTTCTTTTTAATTTTTCATCTGATTTATGGGCTAGATGGATGATATTGAATCTCTTTTTCACTCTCTCTAAATTTGGCCAAATAAAAACAAACTCATATCTCTTGGAATCTTCATCTTCCTCTTTCTCTATCCTCTGTTAAATTTACTTGCTTTTGAGGTTGAAGGTTTCACAAAGCAAAAACCCTAGACTTGGGATTAAAAAACATGAAAATGAAAACCTAGCCTGAAAAAAAAAACCGAAACCCGAATCGACCCGAACGAAAATCGAATAGTCTTGGGTCGAATCGATTTTGCACAGAAACCAATCCGAACCGACTAACTTACACCCCTAGAATTAAGGGATTAGTGTTGAAAATTTGTATGGGGCCATTACAATTTAGGGATTTAAATCTTTAGATTAAAAAAATAACTACAGTAAATAAGGGTAAAATTGGTATAATAAAAAAATTCTACCTATAGAAATCTAAAAATRTAAAATCACAAAATTTGAGAGAATCATGAAAATAAGTTTCTAAAACAGTCCGCTCTCAAGATTATTTCCCAAGAACTTAAAACTCAAAGACCGGCCAGAATTCGAAAGCCAAAAATTAATATTCATTTTCTACTTTATTTTCATTATTTTCTATTCAAAGTATAGACTTTGAGGCAGAGAATGACCTCTTCATAGCAAAAAATAAAGATGGATTAGAGACTGGGTGGGAGGTGGAAAACGCTCTTTAATGGCAAAATTAATAAATAAATATTGAATACTTTTTTATTTATAGTAATAATTTGTAACTAGGAGCAAAGGGAAAATCAAAACTTTCTTCCCTTCATTGAGATAATATGAATATATTCATATTTGAGATAATATGAATGTATAACTCGGAGTCAAAGCGAGTATAACTTGGTGGTAATTGACATATATCTTCAACTAGGAGGTTGTGAGTTCAATCCTCTATCCCACATGTTATACTAAAAAAATGAACATATAGCTCGGAACTTGAAGGTAATATATGGAAAAAAAATTAAAATAATCTATAGAAAATTAAAACTTGAAGATTAAGGATCCCCACATTGAAAATTACGAGACCTAACCAAATTTATAATATTCCTGAAATCATCTCTTAGTTGCAGATTTCTTTTTTTTTTTTTTAAATAAGGCTTATTTTCAAACTTATTTGCGAAATAATGCTGGTTTGAAATAATTAAATGTATAATATGTGGGTTGAAACTTATTTAGAAAATAATGGTTCTGAAATTCATCCACCACTTGGTCGTGGATCTTGAAGAGACACCAAACGGTGTGATCGTTTCTTCAAGAGACCTCTGAGACGTGACGTTGTGTCAATACTATGTTTCATATGGTTGTCTCTTAAAAAAGCAGATGTGACGCCAACAGAGCACCACAGCTTATGAATCTAGGCTCGCAGTTATGGACGTCTCTTCAGGTGGATGAATTTCAAAAGCATTATTTTTAAAATAAGTTTCTAGCGATCCATTATACATTTAATATATTTGGAATCAACATTATTTCCGGAATAAGTTTTAAAAATAAACATTATCTAGAAAAAAGAATCCCTCCCATTCCCAATTAGGCTCGAGACACCTAGCAACAAACTAGAAATTGAAGCAATAAAATATAAATTAAAAATTCATGACATTTAAAGGGCAAAATGGGAAAGGAAAAGATTCTCCTCCCAACCCTATCTACACAGATTATACATACATTTTGCAACAACTGTAAGTCGCCAAATCTAGAGTTTTTTAGAGGGCGCTTCCACCAGCAGCAGCCAATCTCCACCATTGCCGCGTTCTTCAATTTAAAGAATGAACCAAATCGTGTCTGTTCTGGAACCTTGGCTCGTAAACCATCCCATAATCCTCAACTTCCAATGGATCGAGGGCCGCACCCTCGGCTCCACGCCCCTCTTCCTGACCCTCACAGTCTGCTCCTACCTCTCCCTGAGCCTCCTGCTCCGCCACGTCCCACTGCCCTCCATTTCCCCTGCCTTCCTCGCCCCAATCTCAGCCCTCCACAACCTCACCCTCCTCCTCCTCTCCCTCCTCATGGCCGTCGGATGCTCCCTCTCCGCCCTCCGCCACGCCCACTCCGTCGTCTGCCTCCCCCCACCTACCTCCCGCTCCGGGCCTCTCTTCTTCTGGGCCCACCTCTTCTACCTCTCCAAGATCCTCGAATTTGTGGACACCCTCCTCATCATCCTAAGTGGCTCCTTTCGACGGCTCACCTTCCTCCACGTGTACCACCACTCCACCGTCCCCATCATGGCCTATCTCTGGCTCCACACTGCCCAGTCCCTGTTCCCTGTGGCGCTCGTGACCAACGCCACCGTGCACGTGGTCATGTATGGCTACTACTTTCTGTGCTCCGTTGGGGTTCGCCCCACGTGGAAGAGGCTCGTCACTGACTGCCAGATCTTGCAGTTTGTGTTTAGTTTTGTGGCTTCCGGTTGGATGCTGTACGAGCATTTTGGAGGCTCTGCTGCCGGCTGCTCTGGCATCTGGGGTTGGTGTTTTAATGCTGTTTTTAATGCCTCTCTTTTGGCTCTGTTCCTCAACTTCCATTTTAAAAGCTATGCTGCCAATGCAAACAAGAGGGTGGAATCTAAATCCCATTGATAAATATTTGAAGTTTATGGCTGGATCCGCTTTGTTTGTTTTAGATTAAGCTTATTATAATCGTCAATGATATGCTTCCACTAATATATTGCATTTTGTTTCTTTTGTTTTGTAATCTAGTGAAATGGAAGGTAGTAACCATCTTTGACATTATTCATAAATCACATCCCCAAGTAATATATGTTATATTAAGATATCATAACTCATCGGTTTAAGCTTTTGGATTTAGTGTTAATTTAACATGGAATATATTAGTGATCACTATAGATCTTAATTTATTTGGGTATCCTAATTAAGAGGGGTGATCACTGATAGATCTTTCTTTACTCCATTTAGTATGTCCAAAAACTTTTTCATAGGCCATTTAACACTTCCAAAACATGTCTAGGACTACTATATATAAGACTCATGTGAACCCATTGGTTAAAATGGACTTAAAACATGCTTGGTATTTTGAAGACTTCTCAATTTCTAGAAAAATATTTTCTTATACTTCATTTTTCTTTACCCAATTTGTCTTTCTATTTACTTAAAGCTAAAATTAGATTAAAGTGCAGCAAGAAAAACATGAGGGATAGGAGAGAAGTCTAATAATTTTCTGTTAGCTCATTGCAGTTATGTGGTGCTTCCAATGGCAGTATTGAGGCTTCTCTCTCCCTCATGCCTTTTTGTTTGCTTCATTGCATAAAGCTTTTCTTCTTTGTCAAAACCTTTCAAGACTCTTATTGCATTGCATTCAAAGTTGCTAGAGTAATCCCTATTACTTTGCCATATATATCCCTTTCTTTTCAGTTTTTTTAGTTTTTTTTTTTTTGGGAAAATTAAATGACAAACAATTAAGATGTGAAAAGGCTCTGGTACTCCTTGTAGGAAAAATTAAAACTCATAAACTTAAAAGCTTTAGATCAAAGTCCCATTTCAAATTCAAGAGAATTAAACTCAAAGAAACAGAAGAGTACCTAAATCCATAGTTGAAAGACGATTGATGAAAGGTATGATTGTTCTTTTTTTTTTTTGATAGGATGAGAGGAATGTTTGTGATGGTATCTAGCACCGGGGACCATGATACTCCTGGTTCGCTACAAGTTTTTATTATTTCTAATTTGGCCGTTAATCGAGTTAGAAATTAATATGGTATCTAAATATATATATATATTATCATGGTCAATTTATAATTACTCAGAGGGGTGAAAATATTTGGGACAGGTGATCTTGTCAAAGAGCTTAGGCGACCTTGAATCTCTTTTACCCTTATTCACTTCTACAGAGTCCATTTTATTAAAAATCTAATAGAGAATCATATTTATCTAAAGAATTGAGGTATTCTGAAGTTTCTACAGAATTTTTCTATATGACAAGTCTCAGTTTAAACTTCCTATTACTTTTTTTTTATTTTATACAGAAGTTGAGAACAGTAAAAATAAATAGGACTCCAACCAATCCGGAAATTGAACAGAGTAATGGCTAATTTCTTAAAGAGGCAAACATATTAATTGAGGATCAGTGAAGATAGCTCTGTGAAAATCATGAAAAGGCAGAAGAATTAGAGAGAAAATTATTGTTTTCTTAGAAACCTTTGGCTGTTTTTTTATTGTTTTATTTTTTTTAATTCTCGGATTTATGTAGGGTCAAATGAAACATATAATTTTATTTTTGACAATGAAACTTATAATTAATAATAGGGAAAAAAATAAATTTTAGCCCTAAAATTAAAGTGCATTAATTTTTTTTCTCTAAAGACTTTCAATTTTATCARATTAAACTTTACACTTCCTTAAATTTGAATAAGTTTTAGAATTCTTGTATCGTGGGAGGCCGATTGGAACAAGGCATCGAAGATGTAATTGATGATAGAAATGAGTAAGGGAAATCCCTTGTTTGGTACAAGGTTTGGAATATCCTGGGAGCAAGTCATTCCTATGATTTTTGTATACCTATGAGTAAGAGGTATTATTGCCCCTTGGTTTTAACTTGTTCGGAATGATATTATGAAACAAACTAGCTACAAATTATGAAACAAACTAGCTACAAATTGTCCCACATGGCAAGTTATCACTTGGAAAGAAGCTTATACGTTAAAGCCTTGTAGTGGGGTTGTATACGTGGTTTGGGGAAGCCTAAACCATAGCCTCACACGCGCGGCACGTGTACTCAAATTGCATTCTCTTCTATCTCTCTGTACTCAAATTGTGTTTTCTAAGGATTTTCTGAGCTAGTTTGATTTCACTTCGTTCCGACAAGTACACGTCTGAGTCGGAGGTTGTAAGGGAGCATTCCGGCAATACAACGATTTAGCACCAAGGTCGTGCTGATTTTGCTTTCAAGGCAGTGGTCCTGTCCATGATACATAACGACATATTTCACAACTGTTCCAGTTTCGACCCTACTCTTACCTACAATTTGAAATCAAAATCTATGATTACTATCTAATCTGGAAAGGTCCTACTAGACTTGTCAAAATTGGAACTACTTGACGGGTTCAATTACCACTGCTGGTCCCAAAAGCTGCTAATTTTCTTTGAGTAATTAGAGATTTAGTACATCCTCACTGATGCTCAACCCACCAACATTTCTGCCACCACCGTTGCTACTGCCACCATTGTTGCCACTGCCACTGCGCAGCCTGCCGTCGCTGCCGTGGTCATGGAAGCAAATCTGGTAGAGAACAAGTCCAATTGGATCCTTGACACTGGARCGTCCAAACACTTCTACTCAAATCATGAGCTCTTCCATGAATTTCAGGACTCTATTGATGGCAAATATGTTTTTATGGGGGACTCAGCCACAACTAGAGTACTCGAGAAAGAGAAGATCCTCTTAAAACTCACCTCTAGTAAAACCTTATCCTTAAGTAATGTGTTGTATGTTCCTTCCCTGCATAGAAATTTGGTGTCTGGAGGTTTGTTGAATCGGACTGGACTTAGGATTGTGTTTGAGACAAGTAAGGTTATCATCACAAAAACTGGTGACTTTGTTGGAAGGGTTATTTAGTACACGATTTGTTTGTTCTTAACACTTATTCTACTAATGAAATTGTTTCTAGTTCTACTTATATCGTTGAGTTTCTTGATATGTGGCATGGTAGATTGAGACATGTGAATGTTGCATCAATCAAAAGGCTTAGAACTCTAAATTTAATTAATGCCTTTGAATTAACTAAACATGTAAATTGTCCTGTCTRTGTATCAGTAAAGTTTGTTAAAAAACCTTTTAAACCAGTCATCGCAAGGTGTATTGAACTACTATAATTGATTCATTCTAATTTATCTGATTTCAAAAACACCACTAGTAAAGGTGATAAAATTACTATATTTCCTTCATTGATGATTTTTCTACAAAAATATATCTCCTAAAATCTAAGGATGAAGCGAGTAGTGCATTTTTTAAATTTAAAGCTGAAGTAGAAAATCAATTAGATAGGAAAATAAAAAGAATAAGAACATATAGCGATGGTGAATATAGTGATAATTCTGTTAAGGAATTTTGTGAGTTAAATAGAATTATACATGAATTTACTACTCCTTATTCACCTAAAGAGAATGGAATAGCTGAACGGAAAAATAGAACTTTGAAAGAGATGATGAATGCTATGATATTAAGTTCTACTTTATCTAATTGGGGGGGAGCTGCTCTTTCTACCTGTTTTATTCTTAATAGGGTCCCTCACAAAAAGTTGTACAAGACACCATACGAGCTSTGGAAAGGATTTTGACAAGACCTGTGCTACTTGAGAGTGTGGGGGTGGTTATCAGAGGTGGCACATCCAACATTCAAAAGACCTATTGTTGGATCGAAAACCTCTGATTGTGTTTTCATTGGTTATGTTCAGAATCGTTCTGCAAATAAGTTCATGTGCTTAAATGATAAATCAATTTGTGAATATAAAGATGCTGTTTTTTTTTTTTAATAAATATCTTCCCTATGATTAAAACTATTGGTGAATCAAGTGGAATTTCAAAACAAGCATGCATGTCTATGCCCTATACTTCTAATGATAGGATAGATCCCCTTCAATGATAGTTAAAATCTGTCATTAACATAATTCATGACAGTTATCCAATTGTCATGTATTAAGACATCAAGAAAGATGAGAAGATGACAATTTTGAAAAATTATCATCAGTGTATTTACAACTACAGTTATACTTTGTTAGGAATAGAATTTCCATCACAATTAATAAATGTCACAGAAAGTCATTTAATTACAATTTATAAGTGTCACTAAAACAATCAAATATTTTATCCTCTTGTTAATAAAGACCTAAAGACGACAGTTTATAAATGTCTTGAATTATTTTGTAACGACCGTTTATAATTGTCGTGAAGTAGTTTTTAACGACAGTTCAAGATTGACATGAATTTTTTTTTAACCACTGATTACAAACGTCAAGAAAAACTTAACGACTATTTATAATTGTCACGAAAACTTTTATAGTGATAGTTTTAACAGTCAATATTGCCAGTTTTAACTATCACGAAAAACTGTATAATGACAACTTAAAAATATCATGCAACATTAAATAATGACATTCGATACATGTCATGGAAAAGTTTACAACGACAATTTAAAACTATCATGGTATACTTAATAATGTCAACTTTCATGTTTCAGAAATGTCAATAGAAGGCCACCAAACAATTTTGAATGTTTTTTTTGTCACGAAACCTATTTTGTTGACATTTATGAATGTAACTTTTCATATAAACCTGTCTTGAAATGTTTTTAAAAATCGCTTTCCATAGTTGTACCTAGCAACTGTCAATTGTGACGTATTTTATATACAAAAACATATATATCCATTAGTACACCAACCCACTTGCAAATATAAAGTGTATACATATAGTAAGTTATATATATACATCAATGAAGGTTTTCCATGTCCATCAACCCCGTACATAAACAAACTACATACCAAGTAACTGCTAACCCAACAAATATTTCAAGTAGCTACCTGCCATGGTTCTCCAACTCTTCTTGAAAGACCTAAGCAATGGAAAAAAAACCTCAAATATTTCCCAATAATATATGCGGAAGGTCAAACTACAACAAATATTATATGTTGTTATAGTTCATATCGTGTAAACGTGAAAGGTCAAACTACGAAATGTAGCTAACATATTACAGAAACTCTCACTCCTGCTTCCTTCAACCCTCGCCCCCACATGCTGAACAACATATTCAAAACAAACAATTAAGAAAACACGAATTAAACTTCGGCAAGTATATACAAAAGTGGAGAACCTAAACTTTCAAATCTCTTACACTCAGTTTACTTCCTTTTTCTACTCATTGTAAAGGTTAACATAGTAGAAAAGAAAATTATATTTCAGAAGTTTGAGTAAACTTCGTGAAAAAACAACAAACACATTTTAAGCTAATTTCAACACTGTCAACAGACACATTTTTCGAAAATCATAAGCTTGTCTAAAATTTTTGGATATCACAGACAAATTTTTTGTTCTATCTATAAAAGATCTACATCCATTTTAGGTCATCCACTATGTAATCAGTTTTAATAATTACAAAATATAAACAGAGGACCAACAAACCTGATTTCTGGAATCAACACACTTTCATAGCCTTTATTTAGTGCTTGAGAGCTAATAATCACAATAAACACCTAAGATCTTTTCCTCTCTCAAATCACTCACACAAAACCTTTCTTTCACAAAAACAAAGAAGTAAAAAGACAATATCAAACGGTTTTTTAAATTCTCCAAATACTAAAGACTTTACCCAAATAAAACTGATTTATGAACAACACAGATGTTGAACAATAACAAGCAAAAATGTTGAACAATAATAAGCAAAAACAATCTACTTATCCAAATCGTAATTGGCTATCTTTTTCTACAGGATAGCCACACAATTATACAACTAGATTTTAAACTATATGCATGCCACAAATATAAACACTAAGCCTTAATTGGCTATATTTACTGCAGGATAGTCACACAATTATCCAACTAGATTTTGAACTATATACATGCCACAAATATAAACACTAAGTCTTAATTGGCTACCTTTGCTGCATGATAGCCACACAATTATCCAACTAAACTTTAAACCACACAATTATCGAACTAGACTTTATACTATATGAATGACACATATAAGCACTAAGTCTTAATTGGCTACTTGCACAATCTTACATAAGCAAGTCAAACATAAAATCAAGGCACAATATTCACAAAAGAGACCATAGAAGCAGCCAGAATGGGAGAGAAAGACAACCACAAACAAAATATGAACACACAAATCTAAACAACATAGCTTTAACAAACACAAATAGAAACATTATCTAACACATTTCTCATTTCTCACCGCAAGAACAAGCTTTCACAATTTGTAAAAGTTATGAAAGGAAAGAATATGAAAGACAAAAAAGTTTTAACACTCTCCACCAGTGCAAAAGTGCTAACTTGCAAAAAAACGATAGAACATAGAAACTAAAACTAAGGGAGGGATAGAAGAAATGAAAACTAAGTGTTTCCTCCCCCTTCAAATAACAAAACTAAGGGAAGGACCACCCTCTGCCTTTTGCACTATATATATGTACATCATTTTCTCTCATTCAATTCAATACAATTTATTGCTTTAGCAATCATTTTGATCTCTTCTAATCTAGTACGCTATATAATATGTATTTTATTTTATTTCTCCATACCAAAATGAAAACAAACTATATATATACATCAAAATTAAACAAAACAAAAGAACCCTCATGATCAATCAACCATATTTACCCCTCAGAAAAGCATTCATTCATCCATCCAATTTTTATTTCGTCGATTCTGATAATGTGTTCAAGGTAGCAAAAAGAGATAGATAAAATTAAAAAAGAAAGATGGAAAAAGAGAATTGGAAAAGTGTGGTTGATTAATTATAGATAATAATTACCCATCATGGGCAGCCTCAGTTCACTAAGATACTTCAAATTCAACTCTACGCTTCCTGCCTTTCAAATATTTGATTATTGAGAGAGATAATGATGGCATTACCACAATACTTTAGGACTTTGAATCAATTTTGAAACAAAAAACAATACCTAATTGACGAGTTATTATAGGTCATTAGTTCGGATCAAAATTCATGCTCAATAGTTGAAATGCAATCCTCACAAAATAGAAAGAAAGATATTGACTCCATATGTAAAAATACCTCTAACTTAATGCATTATTTCAGAGTCTTTCGTACCACTAGATATATTGTACTCTAATTAACCTTTCAGATAAGTCGACGAGGGAAATGATATGAATAGATAACCAAAACAAATCAATTAAAGAAACACACTTCCATGAGCCAATCTTCATTAATGAAACAGTAACCAGGATAAAATTAATGAGCTAGGATAACACAGTGCCAAATGAAATTACCGACAAGAAAAGATGTATTGCTACTTTTACGTCATATACGCAATTCAAATCAATTTTCAGAAGCAAAGAAAATCAAATCAAATCATGCGCATTCCAATTTTCATCCCAATTCCTCGACTGTTCTCAAATAAATCAATTCTAGTAAAATCCACATCCAACATAATTTAGGCACATGAAAATCAATCGCTGGAACAACTCATACGGGTCGAAAAACTTCAAATCCAAAAGAAAATGTTCATATGAGTTGGGTAATTCTTGTAGTGAAAATTTTTCGGCAAAAAAAAAATAATATAGCAACTGATTTACCATAAATTCCCAAAACGAAGAGAGGGTTGAGCGCCAAATTATCGTAA